TTAACCAAGGAAATTGTTTATTTGCAAGTGCTGACTTATCGCATGCTCATCGGTGAAGAAAAAACCCAAAACGTAACGTAACCTGCATATTTTCGAAATAAAAAAAAAAACTAAAAAAACAAACGGTTTTTTCATTTATTTATTTGTTTATTTATTTATTGTCTGCCAATTCGCAGCGTCGCGTGGTAGACTACGCCCGTTAATACCGAATAATAATAACCTATGTGCAGAGGAGGTCTTTGCCCAGCAGTGGGACATGTATAAGCTGATCCTTTACTTCGATACTGTGTTCGGCCCATGTTCAACAGTGGACTCGAACATACCGAAATGATGATGATGACATAATCACAAACTATCGTATTTATCCCGTAACCATCAAATTTATACAAGCTGAACAGTTATTAGAGTTAAGGCCCATTTACACGGTGCCAGTTTCTTGCCTGTTGTATACAATTAAATTGAAGCAATAAATGAGTTGCATGGTCTAAACAACAAATGGTCTAAACAATTATTGCGCGCAATTTATTGCATTCAATTATTGCTCTTGTATGTTCAAGAAAATGGCATCGTGTAAATGGGCCTTTAATCTCCGGTTTGCGAACGGCGTTTGGTTTTACATACAAAAATAATCGATAGTTGTTATCTTTTTTCCTGTTTCAGTTTGTTCTCAAACAATCGGTTAAGATCAATGCATAAAAGAAAGATGACCGAAACTTCCTTACGTCTTAAAACGTTATAACTAAATATTGTCACTTAAAAATAAAGTACCTGGAGGTTTTTTTTTTTGTAAATCGTGTATTTTGGAAATTACATTTAGATACAAATTACTGAGTAATGAAATATGCATAATATTTTTCGATCTTACCGACCTAATAATAAGAAAATATGAAGTGGTGTTTTACACAAAAGAAACAACTTTAAAAAAAAAGTGAAAAAATAACAAAATCATCTGGGTCAAAAAAAAAATAAAAATAAAGAAAACAATGAGAAAAGAATCGAAAAAGAGAATCGAGTGTGTAAATGATCGTAACACGAACCACGGCCGTCTGTTTTGGGGCCGCCCGATTACCAACCGAGCTGTTATAACATTTCTTTTTGCGGCGAAATTTACCGTCATATTCGAATGATATTTTTCATTCCCTGAAAACAGGGATAAAAGGACATTTTCTAAAAATGAAACCTAGCTAGATCGATTTTTCGTCCCCGAATCTACGCACATACTAAATTTCATGAAAATCGCTGGAGTCGTTTCCGAGATTCCGAATATAAAAGAATTGCTCGTTTAAAGGATAAGATTTACAAACTTATGTAAAGTACCTTTAGTATTTTACATTTTACACCGTGTAAAATAACACATTAAAAAGATCTAAATCAAAATTAAATCTATGCTATCGGAAACTAAACCATGTTAACTATTTTGCTGTCGCTTAATCAAGGCATTCGAATAATTGGATTAAGCTACAACAAGTATCGGGAAAATACATCAGATAAGGTCGTTGCCGGAACAATAAGGGGAGGGCAGAGTAAAAAACGTTAGTAGATTAATGTGACCATGAGTTTACTTCTTTGTATAATGTCTGTTCTTCTGATTTGCTTAAACAGTCTATGCGATGTTTCGTTTTAGTTGCAAGTGCACTATTATGGGGAACAAATCATAATAGGACCTATAGATAGACAAAGACATCCAATATAGGGTATTAGGACATAGTCCACCACGCGACTCCACCGCGGATTGGCAAACCTTCTTCTAATTGATTTGAGTTAAAAAAAGTAAGTATCAGCCTATACCTGTGCTACTACTGGGCAAAGGCCTCCTCTGTACAGAGGGTATCAGGACATAGTCTACCACGCGGCCCCACTGCGGTTTGAGGGACTTTACATATCTTCGAAACAATTTTTTTTTTTATTATTTCGAAAATATGCAGGTTTCCTCACGATGTTCCATCATCCAATCAGTCAACAATTAAAATTACCAATATCATTGGTGCCGGCACCTGGATTTGAACTTACGATTCCTCGAGTATTTTGAATTGGAAGTGAGCTCCCGGAAAATTAGCCATCACGGCTCGTATGGTCGATGTATGGTCACGGGTGTGATTCATCGTCTACCCTTAGACAGGAAACCAGAAGATCTCATTCAAATGCTAACGATAAAATTGAAAATAAATAAGAATTGTACAAGTTGTAGTGATGACGATAGCAAGTTTGTATTCATTGCATTGCTCATATGCTTAAAGATTTTCCTTGAATTTTTAAATGATTTCCCATTTGGTATCCCAATCGGAGTCCGAAGGTGGGGCTAAGGAAATTCTCAAGACCAGGTTGTCCACTTAACGGCTGATGCAACAAAGCTGGAATATTGCGCGGCGCCTGCTTGTCCTTAGCGATATAAAGCAAAGCGAAACTATTTCGTAACCGCTTTCATAAACAGCTCAAAATAAAATGCGATTTATAGCTTTTTGCAATAATTCAAGATCGATAAAAATATAAAAATGATCAAAAAGGCGAAACATCGACGAAAACGGCCATTAGCTGGTCGCAAAAGCGTCGAAACGCTGCATATTTCGTCGCGTATTGCTTTGAAACTAATACGAGCAGACATTTTGGGGAACCACCGCTTTATTCGGAGTTGTGATGAAAAGAAGGCAGTAACGAATCGGTTTAAAAAGGAAACAGTTTCACAATAACGATCCATTCTTTTCGTATTTCATATTGAGGAATGGTTCTTCGAAAACGCATTAACTTGCAAATATCTATAAACGTTTCGCAACGGCAATGAACTTATCCGTATCGATATTTCTTTCGTTTCGGTAAATCTTTTAATAATTTATTTTCTAAATACGTAAGCTAATGAGACTAGAATTCAGTGGGCATATGGAGTTTCTCACATAAATTTAAAAAACCCGTAATGTAAATATTTGAGCCACTGTAATGGTTATACAACCTGTTTTTTAGGAAGCTAGAACTGGTAACGTAATTTATGGTAACGTTACAACGGTAGTTATGACCTATTCAATAAAAACAAACGTTACGTCACTATATCGGTCAAAATCATCGGACTTACTTGAATAAACATAGCATTTACAACATACTAGATAAAAACAAATGCTCGTGAAAGATAAGATGATGATTCAAGGAATGAGAATCGCTTCTGACTCCGCACAACTTGTTCGAGTATTGTTCGATACGTAAACAATGTTACACGTGTAGGTAGCACAAGTTAAATACAATGTTAATTGTAATACGTCTTTGTAGACGCTGGCGGCACGTGTAGGGCAATGATTAATACAAAAAAACCGGTCAAGTGCGAGTTGGACTCGCACGCGGAGTGTTCCGTACCATTATCTATAAAAACGCCAAAAAAATCACGTCTGTTGTATGGGAGCATCGATAAAATATTTTTTATTCTATTTTTTTCTGTATTTGTTGTTATAGCGGCAACAGAAATACATCGTCTGTGAAAATTTCCTGTAACTATCACGGTTCATGAGATGCAGACCGGGGACACACGGACAAACAGACAGCTGTCCGTCTGTTTTTCCGTGTGGAGTCTTAGTAATACATACAATCGTGAATACACTCGTGACTTTCTGCACATCTTTTACGTGTAAAATTTTACTATGCCAAATCTCGAACAGTCCCGTGCGCGCTATATTCTTAGAAAGGGACCAATTTCATTATTAACAATATAGAAACAAATAGAATAACAGTAATGGTGGCGCATGACAGAGTATGCATCATACCCTCTGTACAGAGGAGGCCTTTGCCCAGCAGCGGGACATATATAGGCCGTTAATTTACTTTATACATTATAAATCGACCTTAACGAAGAAATATAAGTTTATCTTTTAGAGAAGCTGTTAAACCAACCATATATTGGCGAAAACAACAATATAAATAAAAATTAAATAATAAACAATTTAATAAATCGAAGCACATATTAAATAAAAAAAGGACAGTGACATTAAATTATTAGAAGTTACACGTGAATAATTCTAGCAAATCCTCGAAAAAAGACTTTCTAATGTTATACGTGCGTTTATAAGTAAGTTATAAACTAGACAAATGAAATTATTTACAATACTTATTCAGTCTTATCCGAATTTCACGTAACGTTATGGACACCGTAAAATGTTACAAAAGAACGTTTGGCTAAAAGAAAATCATTCACCGAACAATATGCCTAAAGTAAATGGCATAGGGATTATATTTGAATGCGGGTTAAAGCTATTTCAGTTCTTGCGTGATGTGATACAATGAGTCGACTTATGTAAGAGCATTCAACAACGAACGTTTCAACGTTTCAAGTTTAATTGATGGCGTTTTTTGCGCGAACATCATTTTATGTGGGAACACATTTTGTGCGCAATTGAAACGTCATTACAAGAAATGGTAGGTCACATTTTTAGGGTTCCGTACACAAATCGTAAAACGGGACCTATTACTAAGACTTCGCTGTTTGTCTGTCCGTCTGTCACCATGATGTCTCTCATGAACCGTGATAGTTAGACAGTTGAACTTTTCACAGATGATGTATTTATGTTGACGCTATTACAACAAATCCTAAAAAACAGAATAAAAAAAATTTAAGTGGGGCTTCAATACAACATACATAATTTTTTTGCAGCTTTTATAGGTAATGGTACGGAACCCACAGTGCCCGAGTCCAACTCGCATTGGAGTACTTTTTTGAGTCGCACAAACGAGTGCCGTGTGGGAATCGAACGGATGACCTCGCTTCGTAGCCTATACCTTGGCAACTGCGCCACTAAGTTATCAACTGTCGCCCATTGTTAGAGGCAATATGCATTTTTTTTATTTAAAAAACATTGCCAGGATTGTAAGGACAATTTACAAACATAAATTTCACGCGGACAAACACCCAGATTCGAAACAACTATCTGTGGGAATCGAACCCACACCCCCCGACGCCGAAGCCAATACCTCGGCGACTGCGCCACGGAGTCATCATAATTGGAAAGCTGATGAACTGTACTCACGTGTTTGATGTTGAAGCGCAGGATGCTCTCGATGTAGGTCGGCAGCTGGTTGACGACGGTGAAGTAGCCGAAGACGGAGGCGCCGTGGGTGACGATGATCGCCCAGACGGGTGCGGACAGGAGCATTCTTCGCCACGGCACCGGCATGTGCTGAACGAGTAAGTACAACACTGTTAAAGTTGCTATACAACATACTAGCTGCTGCCCGCGACTACGTCTGCGTAGAATAGGCTGAAGGCGTAACATTCAGACAGAAAGACAGATATACATAAAAACATGTATGTGTTATTCTGATGTATAAGCTATATTATTTTAAAGTTTCATTAGAATCCATTCAGTAGTATTTGCGTGAATGAGTAACAAACGTCCACCCATACATACAAACTTTCGCGGTTTATAATATTAGTAAGGATCAGCAAGGACTAGCGACCCGCCCGGCTTCGCACGGTTGCAATGTAAATACTAATTTGGGGCAGTGTGGAGTGATTGATATTAGTTTTTACAACAGGATATCTTTATATGCAATATTACACGAGATGTTTGTTAGTAAATCACATTACAACTGTTTAAATTTGTAGGCTTTACACTATTACAATATGCAATGTGCATGCGTCTTCTGTGAGGACTCCCCGAGCGTGCCCATTCATTGCGTGACCCTACACTACCACACTTGAGTTTACCGTTGTACTGTTTTAACGGGGCGTTTATAAACTTCATCCATATTTTATTTAGCTTTACAAGTAGAATTGAGATTCACGGCCAGAGATGCATCGCGCCCCGGCGTTTGTGAACCAATTGGAACATAGGATAGTTTAAAACTGGGCCAAATGAGCGTCGCAGAATTCCTACGATTATTAATTATGCATTCACAACACACTCCAAGGCTCCGTAGATGCGGGCCCAAGGTGAGGATTTTCGTCGAGCCAACTGCGAATACAAACGGGAAACGCGTGTGGGACGTAACGATGTGTGTTTAGTTGCAGATGCGATTTCGTTATTTTTTATTTAATAATATCGGTGGCGGGCATAGAGATTTCTTTTTTTTTTTTTTCATGTGAGAAAGTGGCAAACGAACTGTTCACCTGATGTTCAGCGATAACCACCGCCCATGAACATTTGCAACAACCGCACAAATGTTACATTCCTGAAACTCAGAAATGTAACATTTCGTGCGTGGCCATACCACAGTTAAATGATATGAAACCCCTACATGATTGCTGACATAATCGGTCATCTATCTAATGTGACCATAACTGAGGGAAAATATCGCAAGTGCTTTGAAAAGGCTATGAGACACTAAGCTGTTAATATTCTTTAAAACAAATGATAACATGGGATAAAGACATGCTAAGCTTTTTTGGAGTAGCAGTTCTTTGTATTGTATACGTAAAAGGGAAAGTTGTGACGTAACCCCTTGCTTTTACGTCATCAACGTCCCGCCCGCATAGCGAACCCGCCCACAACTCCGGCCCACATCTTGCACAGAGGTTACTTGCTCAATCCATTTGTCAAGACTTAAACAACGTTGCGATATATTTCGTCCGCGATTTTCTTCAACCTCTACGTATAACCTAAGGCGTTGAGCTGACGTGCGTAGGTAGGTGGAAGTGTTTGTCTATGACAATGAGAAGTTTGGAAAAACATTTCCATAGGAAAAGGTTAATCGAAGCGCTAGCTATCGAGTTAGCGTTCAAGCGGACAGACACAGGGACTTCTTGGTTTGTGTATATACATATATACAGCGTGTAGTTACCATCGCGACAATAAATGAACACACATATAGGGTTTTAAAGTTTTTTATAGTGCTAATCTCTGCACCTAAGATTGAACATTAAAACATGTAGAAAAAGTACGAAAAGATTGTCGCCGCTGTGGGAATCGAACCCCCGTCTTCGGCATTCGCGGCCTGACGCTCTAGCCACTGAGCTAAACGGCTGATAGCCACAGCGACGAAAATCTTAACGCCTTCTTTCTACATTGTTATTTAGCATTTGAAGCATGCGAATGCCGAAGACGTGGGTTCGATTCCCACAGCGGCGACAATCTTTTCGTACTTTTTCTACATGTTTTAATGTTCAATCTTAGGTGCAGAGATTAGCACTATAAAAAACTTTAAAATTTATAAAAAGCAATGGCGACATCTCTCGTTCGAATTATCGTTGTAAAACGATATTCGAAATTGTTTGTATGCTGGAAAGGATATAACAATAGATTCGCCAAGCATTGCTTCAAATGCTAAATAACAATGTAGAAAAAGTACGAAAAGATTGTCGCCGCTGTGGCTATCAGCCGTTTAGCTCAGTGGCTAGAGCGTCAGGCCGCGAATGCCGAAGACGTGGGTTCGATTCCCACAGCGGCGACAATCTTTTCGTACTTTTTCTACATATTTTTAATGTTCAATCTTAGGTTGCATGAATTAGCACTATAAAAAACTTTAAAATTTAAAACAACATCTCTCGTTCGAATTATCGTTGTAAAACGATATTGTATGCTGGAAAGGAGTGGAGAGGCTTGTAATGCGACGCTGTGGCGCGAGTTGTATCAAGGCCGCGAAGGATGTTACAAATTTTGTTTCTTTTTTACTTAATTAGTTTCTTTGCAGAAAATATAAAAAACTTTTTTTAAAAAGCAATATGTTCGAATTATCGTTGTTTAAAACGATATTAATTGTTTGTATTTGCTTTTATAGATTCGCCAAGCATTGGCTAAATAAAGTAGAAAGAAGGCGTTAGATTTCCGTCGTGTGGCTATCAGCCGTTTAGCTCAGTGGCTAGAGCGTCAGGCCGCGAATGCCGAAGACGTGGGTTCGATTCCCACAGCGGCGACAATCTTTTCGTACTTTTTCTACATTTTTAAACACATATAGGGGATAACTTTTTAAAGTTGTATTAAACATTTAAATTCTTTAAACATCAATATTTACAGAGTTATTAAATTTTCCAAAACAAAGAATTTTAGAACACCAACCTATAAAAGCGTAACGTAAAGTTCATTTGTAAAGGTCACAAAGCATATGAATGGGTTGAATGAATTTAAAAGAGACAAAACATACTGTTAGAAGGAGAGGCTTGTAATACGACGCTGTGGCGCGAGTTGTATAGGATGTTACAAATTTTGTTTCTTTTTTTTTTTACTTAGTTTGTTTGAAAAATATTTTTTTTAATTATGGATTTTGTTTAACGTTAATATTTTTTATGATTATTGGCAAGTAGCGTTAGACGTGTGTTCATTTATTGTCGCGATGGTAACGACACGCTGTATATATAAAATATGTATATATATAAAAATGATGATGATAACGACATTTGTCGGCCAAAAGTAAAAGTGAAAAAACGCTGTTGCACAGACCGGCATTGCATTTTTTTCTGGTGAGGGAGGTAGCCGGGGCCAACTTTATTATAAGGCGGCTACGGATGTTGCCAAATGTTTAAATGAGCGGCGATTATTATTTAATACAAATTTTTACAATAACAAAATTCCAAGCAAATAGGTCAAAGAAATTATGTATCATACGAGTATTTATTTTCTCTTTATTAACTTTATCCGACAAATTTTTGTCGGAAAAATTTCGATAAAAAATCACTTGAGCGCAATCGAGGCAAAAAGGAAATCTTAGATATGTTAAAAAATTGATGAGCGAGATTTCGAACTGTCTCCTCCATAGTAAGAAGCCGTATCTCAATTGGCGAATCCAGTGACTATAAATAAAGCAAATGCCACTGGTTCAACCGATTCTATTCAGAGAGAAAGTTGGCGTTGCTCCTTTAAGCGGTTCCTAATATAGCCTTAGATGTGTCACTAGCTTAATGGCCAATGAAACTGATTTTATTAAATTGCACATATAGTCCGTGAGATAAGATTATGTATGATAAAAACACTACAATGAAGCACAGAATAATACAGTCTAATTATATTTTCATTTAAATATGGTCACGCAAGTGTTTGCAGTTTCACGAATGTAAGTACCACGGGAGACGGGCGTGAACTGGAAGTGTTATTAATAAATAATTCTGCGTTTCGTCTGGAGAGTGAGGTAGTCGGGAATCACTTTATTTAAAACTGGTCACCTGCTCGCTTACCACCTTCTCACATGATACAAGTTTAAGGTACTGTAGAGGAAGTAAATTTTAAGGTTTCAATCCCAGCCAGGTGGGGTCACAACATGAGAATCATGTTGTAAGCGGCTTTGGCATCAACCCCCCCTTGGGAAACAAACACCGAGATCCGGCACAACTATCTGTGGTTCACACAAATACTTGTCCCAGGTAAATCGTAGATCGAACCCGCGACCCCTAGACGCCGAAGCCGATGGCTTAGCAACGGCGCCGGCGAGTCATCAAGGTGACACAAATAACCGCATAAACTCGCACAGACAAAGCTTACGTACTTGTTGAAGATGTACTATAAACAGTGTCGCAGCAACTCACCCCTTTCGTGTTGTTATCCTGTGGCAAAGCCTTCAGCAGGTAGTTCCTCTCAGTTTCCGAGATGCGGGGATGCTGCGCAGGTGAGTCGTAAACGACCGCGAACCACGCCACGGACCACATCACGCCGATAATGCCTTTGGGATATACAAATATTTTTATAATAGCAATATAATGTTTATTTATCTATAAATATGATAGTATGAAAAAAAAATCAAGAATAAAATATAAACAATATTATAAACAGTCTCGGAACAATGTTTAAGGGTAGGCAGAAACCAAATGTCCCTAAACTAGATATTAGAATTCGTATCTGAAACAACTTAGATCTTCCTTATAATACAAATGGAACCATCTTATTTACGTATTTAAATCTAATTCTCTTTATGTCGTATATTTCCATCGACGCGCTTTAATTTCATTGGTACTGCTCGTTTAGAATTTACCATCTAAGCTCAGCGGCCAATGATCTCTTAGCGTGAAAATCTTGGCATCTATTTATATATAGGTATTTATATAGAAATTATTTTCTTTATAGCAGTTTAAGCTATGCTTTTCACCGCCTAGTGCATTCTTTACAGAATGGAACTGATGGTAAAGCATCTGAGTGTGTTACTTTAAAAATTTTGGGACATATTTTTACACAACGGTATTTATTCCTAAACTAAACAAAGCTTGTACTACGGGCACTAGGTAACCGATAAACATAAACGTACTTTTCTTTTGTAAATAAATACATATTATAGATATATAACCAGACACTAGAAAAGCACTATGTTCATTCCAAAATATATTTTCAATAGTGGGAATCGAAACCATAGCCCTTGGCGCAAGAGACGCCAATTGGGTCAACCATTTATCTACAAAGTCCACATTTTGTTTAATTCTAAAAGATTTAAATCTACACATATGCCCTTACCGGTGAAGTAAAACGCAGACTCCCATCCAAAATGGGCGATGAGGAACCCACAAATCGGCATAGTTATGGCGGCACCGAGGGACGAGGCTGCAATAGAGAGAAATAATTAGAAAACGCGTATTAACTGCGCGGTCAAGGGAGGTTTATATATTACATATTTGAAGATTCATAAAACTCTGAGGTATGACAGAAAAAGTAGAAAGTATATTATTACATGGTTAGTACAATGGATGCAGGTGGCTCCGAATTGTGCTCCGTGACAGTCTGTTGGGGAGGCTTATCTTCAACAGTGGACTCAAACAAGCTGAAATGATAGTGATGTTAGTACCCCGATAAAATATAAGAAGCGCTTTGTACAGCCTTAAAGGGCTAAATAATTTTAATGACAATCTTGTCATTGTTTTCGTTAGTGATTGCTTCGTCTGGAAATTCTACCTTCCCTCTTATTTACTTTCGCAACATGATTTTGATTTATTCATCTTGGCTACTAAAGTTGCCTTCCATTTTCATTTCTAGGCCTAGACTTTTCGATCTTACGACTTTTTATTTGGAAAATTCTTTAATCGGCCACACACAAAACCAGTTTTTTGTCTATACGAGATTTGTCGAATTTATCCGCGTTGTTGTCTTTAATTCCATTAAGACCTCGACAAAGTACAGCTACGTCATACCCATTTCTAAATAACACGTCGTCAACCGACCGCTAAGGATTAATATCTTATAAATAGCCAGCAATTTTCTAGACGGATCCATTAGGGTCTAGGTTAATGGTTTTGAGAAAGACGAAACGGTTTTATCCGTAGGTTTTCCCCGAACAAACAGGTCTCGAAATGATAAACAATATTCGGCGCCAATGCCAAGACTATACTAATGAATCAAGTTCGCATCGGGCGTTGTTAAAGCATAATTTTCGATTTACATAAGAAAAAGGGGAGGTTCTCAACGTTTTATGGAAAAAGGGAGCAAACGGCTTACCTGATGGTAAGCGTTAATGCCATGGACATTTAAGAAGTAACATCAGAGGATTCACAATTTTTATTTATCCTCAGAACTCCATTATTTAGGCACAGATATTAAAAAAAAATATTCTTTGCATTGGGCTTAGCTCGCAGGTGATCCTTTATTATCTGCATCCGTATTGGTCCTAGATACATGTGAAAATGTGCTAACGAGATATTTGAATTCTTTTATTTTTATTATTAAAAATGTGTTAGAAAAATTATTTTACGTAGAATTAAAAGAGAACACGGGAACCATATCGTACCGTCTCGTAAAGGAATCCGTTTCGTAGCGGTGCTATGTGAATTCATCTGAGTTCGAAGGTTCTCGAAGGATCAACCGCCAATCCATGGGTCAAGGGGACACATTGAGACTTAATTACGCATGTGCGTTTTCCTCGAAAATGCCTAGACCTAGATGGCCGACCACGAGAGCGATTAAGGCGCTAAATCACATATTAACATCAAGGCATTTCCTCGCATATCTAATTCGTACGCCTGAACTGCCTAGCAAACGAGTTGGGCTCGATTTATAACTATTTAATACTAGCTGACTCGGCAAACGTTGTTTTGCCATATAAATTATTTCTAGAGGAATCAGAACGCAGTGTCTGTGACAGGTTACACAGAAATAGTTGACAGGTTGACGGGTACAGTTTGTATGGGAAAATAAAATTGTTGCCATTTCGATTTTCCTTGCAATTTTTCCAATTTTTCCATCGTTTAAACCTTCCCTTGACTGCCATAATATTAGCCAAATCGGTCCAGCCGTTCTCGAGTTTTAGCGAGACTAACGAGCAGAAATCCATTTTTATATATAAGAAGATGGAATATATAATAGAAGATGAACAAAAAATTCTCGAAGTGCGTGGTAGAAAAATCAAGTTCCATATACGATGAAATTGAGGATGAAAGATTTTGTGCTAAATGTAATATGAAAATTACTACAATATTAATTTGAGCACAGAAAAATTAAAATAAAATTGTAGATTTTCGGCAATTTTTGTGTTCTGGCTATAATTATGAACTTTTTGAAATCTTTGTCTTGTCTTTTTCAACCGACTTCAAAAAAGGAGGAGGATCTCAATTCGACTGTAATTTTTTTATGTTTGTAACCTCTGAACTTTCCGAGTGATTGAACCGATTTTGATGATTTTTTATTTGAAAGCTGGCGCTTTCCATGTAATAGGTACCATAGTAATTTCATTGGCATTGAAACTCGGGCGCCAGAGATACTTAGAGAACTCCTGAAAATCGATTATAAAATGAATACGGAAAAGGATATTTGAAGTCGATTTTGTTTTTCCCTAATAAAATTAATGGACTTGTCATAGTTCATGTTCGCCGTGTCCTATAGGATTGTGTAATTTCTCATTATTCACAATCCGATTTATCATTCCGTTCTCTTTTTATAAAAGTACACACAAACAGTCGCTCACCTTCTGGAGGTTCCCTCAATCGCAACGGTATGCAAGCAGCGCTTTTCCCGGATTACAGTTCGATTCCGACGCGACCGGCATGCGCCTGCGGTGACGGCGTTGAAAGTGAAAGCGAACTCCATCAGTCGAGCGGGCGAGGTGCAAAGTTTCTTCTTCATTGCGACGTTTTAGGATTCTATTTATGGGTTATGCCGCGATAATGGCTGATAACTTAACTTTTTTTCAAAGTTTGGAAAATCCAAGTATTTTAAATAGGATTATGGAATAAGTAAAAAAAAGGCGCATCGACGCGACTTTGATGAGATTGCTTTTAGAGCGATGTTACTTCATTATTTCACTATTCGCCGCATTCCTTTAATTGTTTGCAGGCTAAATACGATATCACTACACTTCATTGGCGTCGTAAAGCAACAGCCTATAAATGTCCCACCGCTGATCAAAGGCCTCCTCTGTAAAGAGGGAGGGAGGTCCGTTAATCCGCAGTGGGGTCGCGTGGTGGACTATGCCCGGTAGTTATATATATATATATATATATATATATATGTGGGGTATATAATATATATATACCCCATGTATAATAAATACTGCGGATTGACGGACCTCACATATTTTCGAAATATTTTTTTGTATTATATCGAAAATTAGCAGGTTTCCTCGCGATGTACATAAAACTAACAATTTCACTGGTGCTGGCACCGGGGATCGAACTCAGGTTGCTCGAGTAAATTGAAGGCGAGCGGCCCGACACTGAGGTATCGCGGAATTTACGCCCAATATACGAATTTCGTGCATAAATTCCTTGAAATCTCCACTTGAAGTTATCTCTGTTGTATTTTCTCGAACAAGGAAGTATACACAAATCAGTTTCGCGATAGTGAAATGTCACGAGAGAAAAATTTACGTGAGATTCGTTTTTTATCGGAGATTGCGCGCTGCCTTCGTCGATGTCGGATATCGCTCCGTTTTCGGATAACGAAAACGTGAGAGATGATTTCATTTCGCGCGACCGCGTGTTTTCAGCTTTATCTTTAGCTATTTAGAGATCGGAAAAGAGAGCGGGGGGAGAGATCGGGACAGAGAGGGGGAGACGGGAGAGAGGGGGAGATGGGAAAGAGGGAGAGGGGAGAGGAAATAAAATCTTTAGAGATGTTTCAACATGTTGTCCCATTCGTATTAATGAATTTTACGAGTCCGCATTCGACAACAAACCGTTATTTCATGGACCGATTATCCTCGCAAGTAAATATAATCGATTCGATACGGTTTGAGTTCGGCGAATGGAGGAAAAAAATCGCCGTGCATCGACCACGGACAAAAGAGAGCAAGAAGCAAGCGTTTCCTGGAAGGTCGCGATGAATGGTCGGATATAATGGTCTCTTCGTGTATAGCTATATCTAAATTGTAATATATAATAAATTATTTTTAATAAAATATTTGTCCTGCAAATGAGAGCTATTCGAGCGGTTTATAACCTGGACCCCAAAGATTCACTAAGAAACTTGTTTAAAGAAATAAAAATATTGACTGTAGCCTCTCAGTACATACTTGCTAATGTTATGTATGTCCACAAAAATAAGAATGACTTTTCAAGTTTAGTAATGTGCATGATGTAAATACTAGGAACAAGCATAAATTAGTTCTACCCTCAACTAGATTGCGCAGAATAAGTAAATATTTTATGGGACAATGTATACGCTTTTACAACAAAAACCGAAAAAACGTTCAAAATGAATCCGTTGCTAAATTAAAAAAAAACTTGTTAAGGAACGTTTGTGTGTTAATGGCTATTATAGTTATTTGAATGATAACACACTCTGGAAATGAATTGATCGCTCCAGGCTCTTTCAAGTGGAATTTAATAAATTGTACACATATTTGTAATTTTTTTAGCAAGTAAAAAAAAAATGTCCCGCTGAGTTTCTTACGCCGGCTCTTCTCAGGTCAGTGGGTTTCCTTCCGAACCAGTGGTAGAGTTTTTTGACTATCAATAAGTAAGTGAATGCTTCTTCTATATTGAATAAAGATATTTGACTTTGACTTTGACTTTGTAATACTAATGTCTTAAGAATTATTCTTTTACGAATTCTCCGCGGGTATAACTTCTGAATTATGCATGCGAAGTTTTTCAATGATGTTCAACTTATTACTACAGTACTCCGCTGCTAGGAACTGTTGAATCGATTTTTTTCGGCCGATGAATTATATAAAAACAAAAAATACCAATTTACGCATTACTTTTATAAAGAAATGTTGACATGGCATAAATAACATAATTTTCAATGTCATATTTGCTGCTCAAGAACGTCTGCAAGCTATTATTACCACAAATCGTATAGTCTGGATTCAGTTATTTCGTTTGGAACGAAGTCAAATAAAAGGCGATAGAGACGAATCGTTTCTAAAAAAATCATTCTCAAAATAATTAATTCCCGACAAAAAGTCACTCGAAGGTGGCGACGCGCGGCTGAACGTTAAAACAACTAAGATATTTTGCTAAGAGAAGAACAATGTGACCCGAAAGCAAAGGTCGAAAGTACGTAAAATCCATAAAAATGTTATATTTAATAATAAAAATAGGTGACTAATCGTGCATACAAACGAGGGCACGAGGTTTCGCAAACTGGCTGAGTACAGACTAGGGTTGGCAACATTCCAGCTGCTAATAGTATTATTTCTTTATTATTCACTAAAAAAATATATTTTGTGCATAATTTATAAAACATTGAACCATATTTGAACAGTTGATAGTACGCAGACCTGAAATACAATAATTTTGTATTATAGAACGGTTAACAACCTTAGGACAGAAGCCCGTCTTGACCTTGTGTTCGGGCGTAGCTACCCACGTGGTCCCCGCGCACCGAAATAACGCCGCTTCTAGCTACTCACCTATTGTTTTACATTTGGCAAGCTACGTCTCACTAATACGGCCTATAAAATACTTCATAGCCACTTTTGTACTGTAGCCACATGTAATGTACGTGTTCAATCATAGCAATCAAAGTTCTAGAACATGCCGTTGAAATTCCAGCCACGACTTGGGCGATGTTAATTACAGGAAAATCAACGGTTGCTTACAAATGGAATATAAATGAAGGACTTAACTGAATATGTTATGGATTCAAATTTGATGGATTAAAATAAAACAGAACTAGTGCCGGTTAGCAAACGCGTAGCTATCGGCTGAAAGCAACACTGCTGCTAATATAAGTTTCTTCTAGTCTAGAACATTCCCAACGGCAGCGGCGTTGTTTCTCTCTACCAAGTTATGAAGTAAGGTACTACTTCGGTATTAGCACACATTCCACGACATTATCGGTACGCAAGAACAAAGCAACAAATCGAGTTTGAATAAAGAACGGTAAAAAAATACTTTTCGGTAGAAGCTGAACCTTTTTTGAACCTTTTCTTCGGTCATTTACGACTGTAGCTACATCGCACCGGGTGCGCGCATAGCAACGGTTGCGCAAGGTTAGCCGGCGCGGTCACGCGACGCGCGCCAATCGGGGGCCGCCATTGCCGTGACGTCAGCGACCACGCCTGCGCGCGCCTCCGCCGCCATGTTGCTTTCAAAATGCGCGCCGATAAACCCGGCCGGGCCGCAATAAACGGAACGAGCCCACACGACGCGTCGCGATAACCGACACTCGGACGTGCAAAGAACATAAACGTCCTACTGAGTCTTATTTCGCGTTCAATTTATCAGTGATCGACGTCACGGCGTAAACTGTTTACTTTTTAGGCACAGCGGAATCATTTCGCGGTCGCCTATCATAATGCCGGTTGGAAATAACAATGACGCGCGCGCCGATAAGAGATGTCGGGCGCTGAAATCGATAAGACTAATTACTCACCCATCATGTTGGACATGAATTTGGATCTGTCCATCGGTGGGATCCATTTGGAGGCCATGGGGAGGATGGCGGGCCACGTGGCCCCCAGCAGGAAGCCCAGGACGACCCTCAGTGTAACTATCCATCCGAAACCCAGTGCCGCGGCACCAGGAGACAGCAGAGTGAGGATGCTCGCAAACAACGTGCTATATCCGAACACCCGCCTGTTGACGAAGAAAATTATTATTAAGTATTCTATATAAGCGATAATCATTTTAATACGAAGCAATATATTGAAGTCATCGCTGTCCATCGCTTACAAATGTTTCGAGTCAAATTAATGGTGGCAATATCTAAAACACGATGTAATAACGTTACATAGTTATTACTTTGGTATAATATATTTAATGTTTTCCAACAAAAACCTGGAAATTTTCTTGATTATAAATCTAGAAAAGTATCATTATCATTAAATATTGAAAATACATAAATTTAAAATAATTATTCAACTTGAGATATTGCTGATTCTGTTGACGTATACTATTATTAAATTGAAATATGCTTAACTCGACTTACAAGTAAAGAAAATAACGTATTTTATCGATAGTTTTTCAGAAATGTTTATAATTTATGCAATTATTAAATATTTTTTGTCGTATTCTCATGATGGTAGATTATTATCTGATCTAACATTGACAAAAAATTTGGGAAGATCTCAAATGTCTAGAAGTAGTAAAATTGTTGTCAAAATTAAATAAATAAATAAATATTTTCGGACACATTTTTACACAACATTCTCTAGTCCCAAACTAAGCAAAGCTTGTACTATGGGTACTAGAAAACTAATATACATACTTAAACATACTTTTCTTTTGTAAATAAATACATATTATACATATATTAACACCCAGACACTAGAAAAATACTATGTTCATCACACAACATTTATCCAGTAGTGGGAATCGAACCCACACCCTCTGGCGCAGGAGGCAGGTACACTACCCACAACGCCTTTCGGGTCGCCAACAATTAAATGTCTACAATTTTTCAACGTTTCTGAACGGTGGTGAATATTTATGGGCCTGAAAATTATAATATTTTATGTACGACCAGACAATTTATCTTACCTCCAATGCATAAAAAGCACGATGCCAAATTGTTTTAACATTTTTGTTGTTGGAGAAAAAGAGGAAAATAAAACCAAAAACGCTACACAGCCAGATGCCATCGTCCTAGATTCCAAGTTAGTCAGAGCATTAGTCACCAACCAGTTGTACCCACGCCGGCGAATCGAGTGATAAAATAATGCAAGTATTAATCGTGAGCTGCTGCGTTCTCGTTATATGGATTTATAAGCACGTAATTCATGAATTTATGAATATTACATATTGCGGTTTTACCCGCCGCCATTTTTTTATTTTACCGCGCTTTCAAATGTCCTATTTGCGTATGCAATAATTACTCCCTATTCCAAATAATTTTACCTAGGCATTCATAACACGTTAGCATGAATGTATTGTGAAAACATGTGATTTTAAATGATGATGATTATAGCGACCGATTTCGGCCGTGGCGTCCTCTTCAACTCCTAATTGATTTGGCGCTGATGCGCCCGAAAATGGCTTATATAGCCAATTTTGGCGGCAAACTCCCTTGCACAGTGAGGGCACGTGAGTACGCCGCCTACATAGTTATAGCTAATGGCGGCGGTTGGACGGGCCTTTAGGTCATCGCGCTTAGCGTCGAGTTCAGATTTACGCTGATCTTCAAACTCGCGGATACGCCTCTGCACAATTCCGCGCCACTCCGGACGCTGCGCTGCCAAAACCTCCCAATTGGAGGGCTCTATGTTGCATCTCTTCATATGTCGTTTCTGAACATCTTTGTGTCTGAGGAGTTGACCGCCATGTTTCCCCTCGTCTAGTTCAGAGATCTTATATTTCAAAAATATAAATAAATAATAATAAAACGTTTTTGAATATATTACAGTACTAATATTTTAAGATGATAAACAAAAACAACAGCGACATCTTGAGAATTCGGCAGAAAAATGTTTATAAATTAATTCAAAAAGTATATTTAAATTGAGTATGCTTGAATGCAGAGCGCAACTCAACGGATAACTCATCGTCACGGGTCAGACTTTTTGTTGGTTGGAACAAAAGCGATAAATTCGTAAAATTGTTTCAATTAATAATGTATAGCACGCGTAAAGATGATACAATGCATAAAACATTAATAAAATGTGCTTTCAGTTAAGAGTCCGAAGGGGAAACTTGAAAATATAATTACGATGAAAAAAACTCGATGCACTATTGCCCGTCACAGATGTCATCGAGTTTAATCATTTTAATTAATTATTAGGTCAACTATCTGACATTTCAAATACTTTAGATTTAATAGTCATTGGTTAGAAACAATGAAATCGTTGCAAAGGTTCACAGTAATTAAAATAATGCTCAATTACAAAGTTTAATTTATACTCGTATTCGAGTAGACAACTTGAAAAAAATATTAAATACATTATTTTGCTGTTTAACAACTTATTATTCATGATTTACAACTGTTTCGCTCAAGCTGGTTGAATGCAATGCTTAATTCTGTTACGGTTGTTCTTTTTACAAGCTTTTTTAAAATGCTAAAGATGCCAGCTTGACATTTAATAAAACATTCGGCCACCAAATTATCCCGGGTCGAATACACAAGGAACAAACTACGCGCCATTCCTCGTTGACTTGCCCGACCCTTCCATTACAGCGTTCTGGAAAGATCTGAGGCGTGTGCAGCGCCGCCAGTTGATAATAAAAACCGTTACTGTCTAATTAATTGGCAGCCGTCTATCATCGCGTCGGCAATTAAATGGAATGAAATTTCAATTTAACAATTAAATAATTAGTTACAACCGCCACATTTGAATTTGAAATAACACGGCGCTCTGGCGTCATTGCGAAAGCGTTAAATGATAAATTTACATTAATTTGAATAAAATGCATATTTGTTATGCTAGTGATAGGTTTTCTTTATAATTCTTCGTTAGCAACTAAAGCAGAAACCGAAAATACTGTGTAGTGTTTGAAATACGAAGTATTTGAAGGATTAACTATTTTTGAAGTGAAAACTTCTTTAGGCGCGTTGCGCACTTTTTGGGTGAACAATAATCGTGGAACTCGAGACATCGTCACCGAACGCTTTTTATTTATTTTAATCGTTATTATTACATAGATTCATTATTTTTAACTAAAAATAATTATTAGCTATTATTTAAACATAAGTGCTTAATATTTTATTCATAAATAAATATATTAATTATTGTTAATTTTCTTAGTTTTCAATTCTATTGGCAGTACCTACCAGTAGACTGCCTGCCCCATATGTTTTTTTTAAACAATTAACATTAATAACATAAAAGAACCCTCATTGTTTTATTACACTGCGTGACATTAGCAATAGAAAATATATATATATATATTAACAAAATTTTTATATTTACTAATTGGAATAAGGACAGGAGGATGATGACGATTTTTGATAATATTATATATAATACTCAGTACCTGGAGGAACGAGCTTTGCTCGGTTTTTTTTTTGGTTAATCGTGTATTTTGGAAATTACATTCAGATACAAATTACTACGTTATGAAATATGCATAATATGTTTCGATCTTACCGACGTAATAATAAGAAAATATGAACTCGTGTTTTCACAAAAGAAAGAACTTTAAAAAAAAAGGGAAAGAAATAATAAAATAACAAATCGACAAAAAATAAAAGATAAAGAAAACGATGATCTGGAATCGAAAAAAAGTAAAAAAATAAGTGAACCACGGCCTACTGTTTCGTGGCTGTTTGTTAGCGGCCGCCCGATTACCGACCGAGCTATTATAACATTTTTTTTTTCGGTGAAATTTACCGTCGTATTCGAATAAAATTTTTTATTCCCAGAAAACTGGGATAAAACGACATTTTCTAAAAATGAAACCTAGTCAGATCGATTTTTCGCCCCCGAATCTACGCACACACTAAATTTCATGAAAATCGCTGGAGCCGTTTCCGAGATTCCAATTAATTGACAACACGAGAAAAACAGTCAATTTGAACAACCCGACAGATCTAATTGATGTAACCTCCGGTAGCAAATCTGTTAAGTGTGCCAGGTCCGTGACGTCACGACTTGGCAGACGTCAGACCAGGCCTCACAGGGCTTACCCTAGTTCCTAAACTTCGGTACCATATTGCGCTTAGCGACCATATGCTAGTTCTATTTCAGTCCCTAATGGCTCTAAGTAGGGCATTGATTAAACTGATTTTATGAGAGATTCTTCGCCGCAATATCCAGAGTAGAAGTTCCGTGATACTTTTAATGCTATCTAGACAACATTATATATTATAAACTAGCCCGGACCGGGCAGACTTAGCTTAGGTAAAAACCTACAAAAATAAATTAGCCGAGCTGGTTCAGCCATTCTTGAGTTATGCGCTCACGACGCTAGTCTCCTGCTGTTTGAACTAAGACTAGTTTAAATTAATTGACCACCATTGTTGTTTACGTTAACCGGAAGCAGGCCTTTTTGACTATATTCTTAAAGTACAAGCCTTTATACGGGCTCTGTAACCGATCAAGTCTTACGTAGTCTTCAGGGTGGAAGCAAAAATATGTAACAAGAAAAAGAAAACAGGCCTGAATTATAGTTCTAATTCGGACTTGACTCGAGGATGGATAACAATTAAGAAAATAATTCGATGGAAGCATGTGGCTGAGGACCGTGCTTCGTGGCGGTCTGTGGGGGAGGCCTATGTTCAGCAGTGGACTCAAACAGGCTGAAATGATGACGATAATGTGTTCGGACTTGTCTTGAGGATGGATAGCAATTAAGAAAATAATTCGATGGGTGCAGGTGGCTCAGGATCGCGCTTCGTGGCGGTCTGTGGGGGAGGCATATGTTCAGCAGTGGACAAAAAGGCTAAAATAATAACGATAATGTGGATATGAACTCACCGTGCGCCGATTATCTCCGCCAGCCGGCCGCCCGGCAATTCCGTGAGCACGTACCCCCAGAAGAAGCAGCCGAGCAGGTGGTTCCTCTGCTTCGTGTCCCAGTGGTATCGTGTCTGCTCTATGTGCTCCGGATGCTGTTGACAACACGGGCGTTAGAGGATTTTTGAAGGTGGCAAAAGTGCAAACGGCTCAATCCATCACTAGAGAAGTGACAGATATTTGAAGAAGTAAGAAAATGCCTAAACAGATTAACATCGCTAATTAGACGAAAGGCAAAAGTAAGTCTTCTGTCTTAAGCCTGTCTCTTGTAAAGCCTTGCTTCCCAAGTTGAGCCAAACCATCTGTTTCTTTAGTAGAAACTGCTTCATTAACTATGAGATCAACTGCTGGGGCATAAAATTCTACCACATCTAATCAAACCAATTTACCACCAAAACTGCAACATCCTTCACCGTCACATAGTATCCAAGCGTTGGTCAATTTTAAACAAAGAATCACATCGTCAATGTACAACGCCAACTTTCCGCTCAGATAGAGAGCAATCAGATTTTTTAAATATGAAACTATGATAAATCCATTATCAGAAGGGTATACTCATAATTACATTAATTTGACGACCCGAATGGCGTAGTGGGTAGTGTACCTGCCTCCTGCGCCAGAGGGTGTGGGTTCGATCCCCACTACTGGAAAAATATTGTGTGATGAACATATGGTTTTTCTAGTGTCTGGGTATTTATATATTTATAATATGTATTTATTTACAAACGAAAAGTATGTTTACGTATGTTTATCAGTTTTCTGGTGCCCATAGTACAAGCGTTGCTTAGTTTGGGACTAGAAAATGTTGTGTAAAAATGTGTACGAAAATTAAAAAAAAAATTATATCATTATACTGCTGCCTTTGTCAAATTCTAAATCCTTATTCAATATAAAAGCATTACACTTACTTATTGATTGTTAACACTACTAACAGTTCGAAATAAAAGCCGCTGGCTTGAGAAGAACCGGCGTAAGAAACTAACGTAGAATGCCATAAAAGATTATACTGTGGAAATAACTAAAAAAATTTTGCCTTTCAATGCATACTCAACGCAATGAACGACGAAGAAAAGCGATGACCTAGTCACTGTCTAGAAATTCCATCTGATAGTAAGTAATCATTCTGTTGAGTTCCGGTGAAGGCAATAAGTACATAAAGTTATTTACTTTCGAACACCGTAAAACCTGAACTGTGTGAGGAAATAGAAAGTTAATAAAGTTATAAAATAAATTTACCCATTTCATTAAACATAATATGACATATTATTTATATTTATTTCTCAAACTAAAAGAACGAGTTTCAATAAACATAACGCTTAAAAAACTGAACTTTGTAAGGGAATTGAAATAAAAATCAGAAGTGATCAATCATAATTATTAAAAAAACAAGCATCATGACGGAAATTTTTGTTATCAATAGTTAACGATGATTACTAGTTGTGATAAATAGTTTAATAGAATTTGCATGACTATACACGATTACTGGAGACGAATGAAAATAAGTTGATATTTTCGACAATTAAAAACAGACATTAAATATCATTATTTACACTTTGTGTTATTTCTATTTTTGATTGCGTCGTTACCGCTAGTTATTCGTTATACTGGTCGGATTATATTATGGAATTGAATGTTGGGCAACAAACGTTTCAAATGAGTTATTCAAATACAAAATGTCTTTATTCAATATAAGCTTATTTTAAGGACTATAGAACGACAAAAAACTATCATTCGGTTCACTAAACTAGACCTGTCCGGAAACGGCAAAAAACTCTGCGGTCTGGTTTTTTTTTCTGTCTTATTTTTTTAAATTGTTTTCGTTGTTTGTGGATGTCACCTATTTTATTAATAGAAAAAAGCCGCTTGGAAATTCTTATGAAACTAATGATCGAGAACCCATAATTGAAAGCGAAATATATCCTGATATATCTGGTAATATGTGATATCCAGCATCATAAGCGTGTAAACAGCGGCTTCAGAGATCGACGCACTTTGTACCAAACTATCTCATTATGGTAACCTATCACCCTACTACGTATTCCCTGCATGTAATTTTATGATGCAACATTTGATTATGATCGCCGCATGGAATAAACCTATTTGTCAATAGAATGGTGCGAGCATTTGATACATTGTTAAATATGTTTTGTTTACGGTTTGGAATGATGACACAGTTTAACGTCGTATGAAAATTCAAAGCACTATTTCAAAAAGTGGATCTTTCCCGAAATATCAATCAATACATCTTTTCATTTATAATAGTGGTCTTGTATTTATCTAGTCTGGGAATGTAATCTTGGACCAGGAATTAGCGTCAGATAAGAAAGTAATCAATAAAAGCTAATAACAGTGCCGTGAGAAAACAAAAAAAAAACACTTCTAGCATTAGGACGATTAATAGATATAAATAAAAAGTCTATTGTTTATTCAAGGAGGTTGTTTATTTATCCTTTAGCGCATAGCCCTCATAATAATCGCCAACGTAATGAAAATACGAAGAATGCCTGAATGAGATGATAAATCTCATACAAGAACAAATACACGTCTTTAGGTTTGTAACCAGATGCTTCTAACCAAATGAGAGTATTTTCCATTTACGTTCCTTTGAACTCGCCAAGTACGGACATTTGCGGCATGATGCCAGTTATTACGTAATTAACTTCCTAAAAAGATCAAACAACATACTACACTCTTACTAATACTACATTCTTACTAATTGTGATTAAATAACCAAAAGGTGAAAGACTCGGTGACGCAGCCTTTTGAAGCTTGAAAATATTTCAGGGAGTTAACCTTTGATTTGGCTACAAGATTCTTGCAGTTACACATCTAACGCTCGGCTTCTGAAACACCAATCATCGTAGAAGTCAACTAATCAGCTGGCTTTTCAAATGTTATGTTGTTCCAGAAACTGGGCGTAAGTCTTTTTATGAGAGGGTAACTGACGAGAAAACGATTTATCTAATATTAAATGATTTCTGTCGTTCTCTGACAAAGTCAAAGTATATTTATTCAATATAGGCCTAACTTAAGCTCTTATTGAACGTCAACAGAAAATCTACCACAGGTTCACTAAACTAGACCTGCACAATACAACATGACATGTACACACAATACAATACGACATGTACAATATTGACAGCACGGGTGGGGTAAATGCGGCGCCAACCTTTAAAATAGGCCCCCGATGACCTTACCGATCGGGTGAAACATACTTCCTCTTCACGCCAAGCTTCTGGTTAGCCTTGTTATACTGTCCCGCGCCCTAGATTCTGCTGCAGCGTGACTACCACAGTAATCAGCAAGGATCATATTACAGTTCGTATGTAATTACTTTTCTTCCTTTTACTATTGTCTTTTTTTTTATATTTGGGGTAATGAACACACGTGAGGTGTTGGAACTGTTCAACCATTACATGGCGCATTTGTGCAGTAAACGTTTTCTTTCTTTCTATCGTATGTGCCGTTTTGTATTTTTACCCATATTCAGTCAGTTTTTAGTCATTTTCATATTTGTAGTGAGTCGCATTATTTCAACTTGATAAATAGTCACTTGAATTTAAGTTCGAATGGCATATAAAGCCGTTCAAATCTCACAAATATTGCTGAATCATTACACAGAGTACTTGTTCTCGGACATGTTATTACCACACAATATATTATATTGATTTTGTGTTTTACTCAAACCTATCTACTTAGTTTAAACGTCGATAAGGCGTAACGCGAAAACGTTTTGATAAATTATCTACATAAATAAGACGGAACAGGTCTTCCGATGTTCGAGCATTATGGCAAAACTACTGGATATATTACAATTAATTCTCATTACTTCTATTTCCTATATACGTGACCCTCATTTATCTCAAAAAAAATATTGTGATATCTTCAATTAATGAATAGTGATTAAGGTTATGAAAAACAACGATTTATACAAGCACTACGTGTTTAGTGATGTGCGTTTTCAGAATAAAAAAATTGTTAGTATAATTAGCAACGCAGAAGGAGTCAGAGCTACAAGCTATTTTTAAGATAAAAAGCAAGACATAAGCGCAGACTACAAAATTTTTGTGAAGACAATCATTTGCGAGCACTTGAATCATGTGTATGTCTGTAATTTACCTTGTTACTAAAATATAACTTACTTGCTGCCCGCGACTACGTCTGCGTAGAATGGACTGAAGGCGTAACATTCAGATAGAAAATAAAACAGCTATACATAAAAATATGTATACAAATTATAGCCTGTGTGTTATTCTGATATATAAGCTATATTATTATAAAGTTTAATTAAAATCCATTCAGTAGTATTTGCATGAAAGAGTAACAAACATCCATCCGTACGTACAAACTTTCGCCTTTATAATATTAGTAAGGAAGTAAGGATAGTAAGGATAACAGAGGGTACATTCGGGGGCGCACCTGCGTGACATTCATCGTGCTGGTGAGATTGGCGACGATGGCGGTGTGGTTGTCCTTTTCGTCGTAGATCATCTCTACGATCGCGATGGTCAGGTTCACGCGGAGAGCGTAGTTCAGCATGAAGCCGAGCAGCACCATGATGTTCAGCACTTGGACGCATGTCAGGCAACCTGAAAGCGAACCGAGCGTCAGTCACACCGTCTGGAGGGCGCCGATCTTCAGATTGACAGGTGTTTTCTTCATAGGCACTGTCATAAATAAGGGGGCCGTTCATTAATAACGTTAGGCGATTTCAGAGATTTTGTGAGATTTAGCCCGCATTCCCCAATCTCACGCGAGATTTTTCAAAAATAATGTATAAGTCTGTGTAGTGCGTATCAGAACGATGCAAGTTGTTTCATTATAGTTTTTTTCATTTTCGACTGCAGCAAAGGTAAACATATTTTTTTCAAAAAGAATTTTTATAATTACTTTTTTTATATATGTATATATCGTTGCGTAAACACCGGATAATTATTTGAAAGATAGATCAATTAACATACTTAACTGCATGATAACATGCAACCATATTACATATTGATTTGTTTATTGTATTGCACGATCTAAATAAGTAACATTAGATTAATTTTATCCCGTGAAAATAATACTTATTTAATTTTATAATTCTCGGAAAAACTTAGAAAAAATGCTTGGGAAATCCGGTTTACGGAGAGTCTACACTAATTAGTTTTTTAGTAGAACTTGTAGGTGTAGATATGATCAAACTATTATTTTTCACTTTTTTTGCCCACACGTAATAAACTCCATTCGTTATAATTGCATATTTCTAAATACACTACTTTCAATATATTTGGTGATAAAATACAACATAACAGTACTACAGTACGTACTCTATTACTATGTTATATAAATGATAATGAGATATTTAAATATCTGGTAAAAAAGCAACATCATAAGAGCTATAATACTACGTTACTATGCAGTATACGGCCCTAAGTATAATCACAATCAGCCGCAAATATGGACATAATTTCTCGTTAGATTTTCGATCCCATTAACAATTATCACGTTACAACGGCCGATTAATTACTTAATTAACACAGTAAAATATTAAGTTTTAGGCAGAGCTATAAAAATATAATATGCATATATTCAACAGTAACATATCTTCACGCTATCAATGTTGATTCAATAATTTCGATCGAAACACGCGAAATTATCATAAAGTCACGGACGGCTGTCGTTAAGCGAGTTAAAACCTGTGGTTTTGGAAAAGCGACAACAAATGTATCCGACACAAGGACGCCGGTGATCCTGCGTTATTCACAATCACCGTGTTATTGACACATATGTGGCCACTTGCGAAACCGACGTAAAATCAGAATCATATGTCAACAAACATTGTACATTCCTAACCACTTGGCAACTCGCAGAACTGGTTATGCGAATATCTTTTGAATCTCTTACAAGAACAATGATTGTGTGTTGGCGAAAAATACGTATGTTTACGCAATCGAATGGTAATCTGAAAATTAACAAGTTTCGTATTCAAAATGCATGTGTATTAGATTCTTATGTTGACGCGGCTAGCGGTCGCAGTAGTATCGTCCTTGAACTTTTAAATTATAACGGTAAGGTTATTTTTTTAGATGTAGATAAATTATTATAACTTTTTTTTTAGAAACTAGCCAGTGCTCGTCGTCATCTAAAGCTTTATGGTAAGATGTCTATAGTAAACACTCTAGGTTTGTAGAAAGGCCGAAATAGCTGACGGTGGGAAATCGTTCCACCTCTTTGCTATAAGCATGGTAAAATACCAGGCAAACCTTTTCGATAACAGTTTATATAATAATAAAGCGTTCACACACAGAGACTTAAAGAGTTATTACTACTTATTCTATAATAAGCAGTAATAATAACTAAGTACCTGGATTCTATAATCCAGATAGTATATAATCATTTAATGTCTTCAATTGTAATAATTAATTGACTCACCACTCTGTCTATTAATAGAGGCTTAAATGATTCAAGGTTAATTTGACCGTGAATTTGATCGATTATTGCGTGTACAAAACGATCAGATAGTTGTTTCACTGTAATCTGCTCGTATTATTATTTAATTCATTTAGCCAAACTAGACAAAGGATACAGATTCGTCTGAAGATATATTTTATGGACGTTCAGCGATAAATCTTTACCACATCAGATTTTAATGAACGCTTTCGTTTAAAAGAGCGTGTCCCATATAGATTTGCTGAAGATTTGAGAAATGAAACACTTCAATCTGTAGGTACACGGATTCAGATAAGAAAACTTGTTATAACTCCATATAGATAAAATGAAAAAGGTCTGTCATAGTGCGTGCATTACGGAAAAAACTAGTGGATAGGTCTCAATCAACTCATTCAACTTTTATTTCTTAGATACTTGTCCCGAATCTAAAACAATCCTTTCGTGATATCCCCATTTAATGTAGCTATGAAAGTTTTAGGAAACAACGATTTTATAAGCAATACAAGTTTTGCATTTTCTTGCCCTGCTCTTATACAAATGCCTCAACTCTATTCATAATACATTGTGTATTTTGATCTCACTATATCTTCAGATCTTTTTGATGTTTCATCCGCTGCAACGCAGACTAAATCACGGGTATCAGCTGGTTTTGAATGTAACATTTTGCGCTCAGTTTTCCAATTACAAAATATCATTTTCAATTATCGCACAATAGGTTACAATCACAAGTGCCGGCCACGTGGGACAACCTCGCAGGCTACTGTTCCATGGACATCCCAATTACCGCACACAATTTAGACACCCCAATTACCGCACACAATATACAATCATAAGTGCCGGTAACGTGGGACGAGCTTGCGGGCTATTCGCGACTGTTTCATGGACACCCTTCTCGTAAATCCCACGGTCGTCGGGAGGTTGGTTCTCAAGTCCACTGTCGCACCGACCGTGGGATCGATCGAGTTTATTCACAGTTTCCGCGCCGGACGCGGCGTCGGCTGGGAACTCGGCAGCGTCGCGCCGCACGGAAATATATAAGTTTTGATTACTTTCAGTGCCGGATTAAGGAAATTCTATTGCCGTAGCAAATTCTCTTAAACAGCCCTTGATCTGATATGGATTCTTAAGTATAAATTGGTAAAGAAACCATTCAGTACTCTTTTTTTTTTAAAAAAAAACATTGCCCTTACTTTCGTTTTGTACTTACGTTTTACAAACATAAATTTCACGTGGACAAACACCCAGATGCGAAACAACTACCTGTGGGTCACACAAATAGTTTTCCCGTGTGGGAATCGAACCCACGACCCCCGACGCCGAAGCCAATACCTTGGCAACTGTGCCACGGAGTCATCACTCTTACTTCTTTAACAAGTCACAGGCAGAGATGAGTGGGTTTAAATATGCGGGGCCCCCTTTTGCTACTCTTGCTACTCTTGCGACGTGGTTAATCCGGCACTGATTACTTTTCGTCCCCCGATTGCGTTGCGACGTTAGCTCACCTTTCCTTTCTTAATACGCAGGCGAGCAGGCGGTCCACCTGATGTTAATGACTACCTTCGCTGATGGAAAAGGAAACCGGAGGGCTTGCAGTTGCGCTGACAAAAAGTGTACCCCTGTTACTTACTCACTCATCAGATAAAACAAGAAATTTTATGACTTCCACATCACGCTGGGCATCTATAGACAGCTACCGCTATAACTATTGTATTAAAATAAATTACCTCTTTTATTTTTAAAGTATGACAACATGAATAAAAGCTAATAAGCCTAAGGACAGTCTATGCATAACACGTGCTGGTTAACGGTCTCTGTTTTACAGAATAAGGCTACCCTATAACCGTACAACAGATTGGTGAAGCTCTCAATATCTCAGAAAGAATTTGGATTATTTTACTCTGTTTAGAACAACACAAAAGCTGTTCTGGGGGCGCCGCATTCGCCTTTTTCATTATTTCACTCACTCGTGGAAAAAGATTATTTCCACTGATTTTCCCCGACACGGCAATGTTTTTATCTTTGTGGTCTCCGGCGCTCTCAGCCAAATTGTATATGGTAATTCATGAGTTTAAATAGTATTTGGCAACTTCACTGGCGACAGCCCTGACAAATAACTCTTTCAAGGCGACAGCCCTGACAAATAACTCTTTCAAGGCGACAGCCCTGACAAATAACTCTTTCAAGGCGACAGCTCTGACAAATAACTCTGGCTCTTACAAAGTTGCCACAATGTATTAAGCCAGTGAAAAATGACTAGCCGGCGAAGCACGTGTGTGCGAAATAGATGTTTGTTTAAACAGCACTTCAGCAAATGATTACGCGGCCCCGTCGCAGGAAACGCGATAAGAGGTGCGCGTACCCTTCTGGCTATGTATATTTGTATATTGCTGACTGCCCAAATTAATAGGCAATTCAATTATTAACAACGACATCAGCTCGGTCCGCTCACACAGGTAGCCAGTCAAGAATGATCTATGTCAAGTTTAACAGCGCCTATATAATCAAAAGAAGTAGTTAACTATTTAAATTTGTTAAGATAATATTGAGTTGCTAAAGTGACTAATTAATTTTCAAGTCAAGATAAAAATTTTGCTTCTGCTCGCGCCTGAGCGGTGTGGTTATTTTCTAGTTGACGTTATGCATTGCTAACACAATTCCCCATTGAATTACAATTCTTCATGCCGTAGCGGCTGAAGACAAACACAAACTATCTAATTCATAACGTAAGTCATCCGCGGACTCATAAAAACTAAAGTATACACAATTGTGCGTACATGTTTTTTAAGTTCCATTCCTATTATTAAAAAATCCCTCCTGCGGGAGGAATATCGGTGTTGAGAGAAACAAGGACAACGATATCATGGACGTAAAGTAATTTGGCTAAGCGATTACTTAAATGCCTTTGCGTGTATTAAGTTTAAGATTATTTACTTAGTGTAATAAGAATCTTGACGGTGCAAACCAATATCAACGCTGGAATACTGTGGTTGGCAACTTTTCACATAAAATCTTTCAATTACCGAAAAACAAAACGGACTTCAAATATCTCGCTCTGTATTCGTTTTGTTATTGTTGTTCAGGAGTTCCCTAAGTATCTACGGAGTCCAAGATACAATACCAATGAA